ACACGACAAGATGAGGGGAGCAAGCCTTTAGGACCCACCACGACCCCGGCACCGTTTCTCCGCCGCCTCAGAACGAACCCACTTTCCGATCGAAGAGACAAGACGGCGGAAGAGGAGGAGAGGCGGTGGATACGAACAGGATTCCGGTGACGGACGAGGCGCGCCATTGCTTCAACCGGTATCTACAGTACCACAAGTAAGCATCAGCTAGGAATTTTCAAAAGCAGTGATTATGATGCATAAAATAAATTATGTTATTAATTTGAGGGATTTATCTTTCAAGGTCTTCTTCTTTTTTTATAAAATTTTTAAAAAATATATTGGGCGGTGTGTGTAGATGTCTGGAAAGGAAGGGCAGGGATGAGAACGAGTGCAAGAACTTGGCAGATTACGTGCGTTTGTTATGCCCTGCAGAATTGGTGATTTGTTTTTTTTTTTTTAATATAATTAGACAATAATGAAATATAACTATTGTTTTTTTGGGAGACACTTAATTTAATTTTTGGAAATTATGAAATCTTAAATGTTGATGCTTCACAGGTGGAGAGATGGGACGAGCAGAGAAAACATGAACTTTGCCTGCTTCTATATAAAGGGATTGACATTGTCTCCCTCCACTGCTTGATTTGGAATTATATCAAAAATATCCTTAAAATGCTACTTCTACTTCAACACCTACCCTTGTGACCATGTGACCAATGTGACCGAAATATAGTGTGGTCACATATTGATCTTATTGTTCATAACGTTAAATTTATGATGTTTTAATCAAATGATTAGTAAGATATACAAGGTATGAACATAATGAATTAGTGTGATCACCATAAATTTAACGTTATAATCGATAAAAATCAAAATGTGACCATACTATATTTCGGTCACATGTGACCAGGGTATGTGTTGAAGTAGAAGTAGCATTTTAAGGGTATTTTTGATAATGCCCCGTTTGGCTCTTCCAATTTTTTTTTTTTTTTTGTTATAGCTTAAATTCTACGGTATGTGCATTGGAATAAATACCATAAAACTATATTTCAATTTTACTGAGAAAACTTATGATGTTCAAAAAATATTAACGCTGGTAGTCATATATCTAAGGAATTCAAACTTCCAATTGATAGCGGTCCAAATTACACGCCGATTACAACTGCAACAAAAAAACCCCGATGAATTCTAGGGGGAAAAAAGGCATCTATTTGTCCGATTAAAAGATGCATAAACATCGTCGAAACACATCTCAAGAACAGACTCTTGTTTTTATTTTACCTTTCGAGAATCGAAAAAGACAATACCTGAATGCTTTCTGTCAGATCATAAAACGAGGATAAAAGACGATAATTACCTGAATTAGCCGGTGAGGGCTGCGTTAAGGGCACTGTGAACCTCAACTCCAATCTGGGCCTCGGCTTTTTCTAACTCAGTGGTGGCTGAGCTGAGCTTCTGAGTGAACTCGGCTAGTCCCTGCTGGACGAGTGCCGGGTCAATGCGGTCGAGCGGAACAGCCTCCACTGCGATGATGTCAGCCACGGAGTTGGCGTGGATGAAAGCAAATCCACTGCTGAGGAAGTACTTCTTCACATCATTGTCCTCGTGCACAGACAGGACGCCGGGTTTCAGTTCCGCGATTGTGGGAACGTGTCCGGGCAACACACCCATTTGCCCGGTGGTTGCTGGGATGATTACCATGTCGACCTGTGGAAAAGGGCTCGAGAAATTAGTCGTTAGCATTACATTCGTGTCAATAAATTTTACTAACAGAGGCAGGAAGAACAATATCTAGATGCTATATAGAGAGCGTGAACTTGTTGAATGGATGGCAAACAATGAGTATAAAGGAAATTTTCCAATAGCAGCGCATTAACACAGACCAATCAATGGTTCTACAGACTTCAAAATTCAAAATTGAAATAATTTAACGTTGAAAGGCCGAAGTGGGTGTTCTTGAGAAATGAATGCCAATAAGGGATGAAGGAAACAAATGCATATGAATGCTGAATGCTGAATGCGGAGTACAGCCGAACAGACCACAGGGCATGCTGCAAAATACAAGCGGATATCTCATGTTTCTTCCCAAATACATCGCATGTAAAAACACCAAAAATCTAGACACTTGACAATAAGCTGATACATAGTGAGCAAAATCAATATGCATGAAACCAAAAATCACGAAGGATGTCGGCAGGAGACAAATGGCAACGCGATAAAACAAGCCATGTATTCTACAAAAATGTACCATTCACCAAGGCGATGTATATTACTCACAAATTCAAATGATACACCCTAAACAATCAGCTAAGAGGGCCTAACTATTGGTTAAACCATGAGCCATACTCGCTGATATCAAAGCTTAACAACGGTGAAACCAATTGACCACAGCCACAATGATGAGCTATTAACCTAAACTGGTCTCAGTGATAAACCTGATCTGATATGTTTTCCCATGTTCGAACACAATATGAATCAGATCAATTTAGCCGGCAAAAATGTATTCTGTTTCTTCACGTCGATTATTGAATATTTGATCCAAAACCAGCTCTAAGAACCTAACTCCTAACCACGAATCCTTCCTACAAACATCAGATCAATAGATTTGAACTAATATCATACAGCATCGAACCAGCTCTCATTTGCTAAATACTTCAGATGAGAAACCTAATCAGTGGACTTAGCCATACAATCGATAAAAAAAAAATGTCAACATAGATCAATCAAATAGACGCGACGGCGAAACCTAAAGTCAAAATGAGAGAAATGCGAGAGGGCGAGGGCGAACCTCTTTGCCGGAGAGCTCCGATGAGTAAGGAAGGACGAAATTGACGGTGAGCTTGGTCGGTAGAGTCGCCGGAGTAGCGGGACGAGGCTTCATGAAGGAGAGAGGAGTCTGGGGCGGATCCAGATTCGGCGCCACTTTCTTCCACGCATCAATGAAGTTTGAATCGACGGACGAGGAGGCGGGAACATCGCTAGAGAACGATCGCACGGCGGAGGTGCGGCGAGCCAGGATGCGGGCGGTTTGCCGGAACATTTTGCGGCGGCGGTTTCTTCTTGATCGATTAGGGTGCGTATTTGTTTCCCGACTTCGATACCCCTTTGGGCCTTGTTTGATCTCTCCCTGTCTTGCTTCCTTTTTTTTTTGGCCATTTCCTAAGTTTTTTTATTTTCTTTTTTTTTCTCCATTTTTCATTGTATTGGTCGGATTTAATTTAAAGTTTCATGCAGTTTCGCTTGTATATAATATTAAAAATATTACAAATTGAAAAAGTAAATTTTTGGAGGATTTTCATATAATTTAAAAAATCTTCAAAAAATATATAATTTTCAAACTCACACTGGTGAATTTATGATTTCATAAGTAAATATGTTCAAATAAATTTTGAAAATAACCGTGGTTCTTTCTCTCTTTTTGGGCTTGGGACATTAAAGAAATTATAATTTTGGTTAAAAAAGAATTGAGGAATGTGATCTTGTTTTGGGCTTTGACCAAAGGCCCATAAGGAGGTCTAGATTACACAGAGTAATCTCTCCCTTGACCTGCCCGGAAATCGAGAGAGAGACAATATATATATATATAATGCGTGTGTGTGTGTGTGTGTTTGAACGAATCTAAATAATTGGACCGTTCCCTTCGTCTAAATTTTCAACATTTGTAATGTCTAATGCAATTCGCATAGTTGACCATTTGTTCATATCGTTATATGTGTACCCTCCACGTGGTTTCTGTAAGTGGTACTTATCGTATCGTATCATCTCCACGTGAAATTGACATATAAAACACCTTCACAATACGTTAACATGAAAAAGATAAACCCTGATATCGTCGGACTTGAATCGGATTTCGGATTCGAGTCGGACAGATTTGAAAGTTCGGTATTTTAAAAAATAAAAATAAAATTTACAAAAGATTTATGTGGTTCGGTCCGATACAAGCCCGGTTTATATAGGATCATGTTTTAGACTTAACTATTTAGGCCCGAAAAAATCGGAGTGACCCGAATCCAAATCCGAAACCTTCGGACCGAATGCAGGCTCGGTCGGACCGACCCGATTGACACCCCTAATTTTAGTATATATATTGGGCTGGTTTTTTTTGTAGGATATTTATGTGGGAAAGGAGGATAAGATCTCTAATTACAATATAACAGACGTCGGCAACATACGTGGAACCATGACTTATGCCCAAAGGCAAAAGAAATAAATAAATTGAGAATTGTCAATAATAAGCTCTTATGGATCTTTTCTAGGGTTCAATCATGACAATTAGTCCGACTAATTATAAGACCACAATTTGTTGATTTCATGACAAGGCCGTATATAATATATAAGCAAATGAAAAATAAAAATGTTAGTATACAACGATATGAGTGTTTAAATAACATATATATAAGCAAAGGGTGATTAAGATCATTTTTTTTTACCCTAGACAACTATTTTCATATAAAATGTTCAGGTATGGTGACGCAAATTTTCCAATGACTAAATTATTCTCTAATCCGATACAAATTATAATTCATCGCATAAATGAATCGGATTGTTGCAAAAAGGGGAAAAAAATTCAAATAATAAAAGCGTATTCTTATTTGCTGCCCAAAGCGTACCTAGCTATGGGTCTAAATCATTATGTAAAATGGTAACAACGAAAATAAAATTTGTTCTAACAGGGAACACTAAATAATTCACATGTGAACCGGCCTGGACCTTCACAATAATTGAAGATAATATTTTCCAACTTCCATCCAAGAATATATGGAATAAATATCCAAAGAAAACATATGATTTGGAACGAAGGACCTGAACTGAACTGTCATTAAATGTCATGGCATGACATGACTTCTACGCATTATCATATGGAGCACACATTGGTCCGGGGCCTCCTCTATATGCGTCGATGACAGAAAACACATCAATTATGATACTCACATGAATATATATATATATATATATACATATAATGTTTCAGTTAAGATATCGATATCATTTGTGGAGAGAAGTGGGTTTCTCTACTTGGTTTTTGTTGTATTTTACAGTCTTTGGGTTATATACATGAATATATATACGAATCATAAGTTCTGATATATGTATATATATATATGTATGTATATTTACCTTTGCATTAAAAAAAAAGGTACCCACTTTTCTTGGTGTGTTAGGTTTTACTGATTCCACCTAGTCACAACTCATAAAAGTTCCTCGCCACAATTCTTGGTCCTAATTCATCCTCCGTTCCAAAATAAATATCGTTTTACGTATCATTTTTCTGTTTTTAAATAGTTGTTATTTTAGATTTTATAGGTGAATTTTAATAAAAAAAATTACAGTTTTATCCATAATTTAAAATATCAAACTTAAATAGAGTGTTAATGTGGATATGATTCAATAAGGGTATATATGATTTTTTTTTTAAACCGTGAAAAAACCTAAAACGATAATTATATTAAAATGGAAGGTGTATAATATATATCTCTAATGAAAACTTCAAATAAATCTCATGTAAAACTCCTTAATTAAACGCACAATATTGATCCACTCTTCATAACCTTTGTATCTCTTTCCAAATAGACATATATTTAAAATTTAGCACTCGAATAATCGGTGCAGAATGCGTTTCCAATATGGAAAGAGTCCTCGAAGATTTTGCATATCTTGGCCATTGCTTTTGGAGATCAAGCGGCACAATGCTGCATACACGCAGCTCAGTTTGTGCGCTTTAAATGCTATTCCCTATAGTATAAGTTTGGCTTCTTGGTCTTAAAGCTTTCTTCTCTTTTGTTTCTTGGATTCTAACCAGAGATATGAAAGAATAAAAGCAGATGGAAGAGAGAGAGAGAGAGAGAGATATTCTTGGGCTCCTTGTTTGGAATTGCATGTGTGTCTCACGCATGATATGTTTATTAATCTTGCTCACTTTCCTTAGTGTGTGCCACTACGTACATATATATATACGTGTGTATAACATGTGGGCACATACATATATATATATACACACACACATATACGTAAATAAAAATAATCGAACCATTCATATTGAAGGTAAGGCAGATTCTCACACTAAAAGAAAAAAGGAGGCAAAATGTCATCTTTCATCCATAAATACGCGCAGGAAGCTGTGGCTGAGAGGGGTGTCAATTTGGGCCCGAGGTCCGAAATCCTGTCCGGCCCGAAAAATAGCGGGTTTCGGGCCGAAGTTTATTGGCCTGAAAAAATTCGGGGCTTTCGGGCCGGAATTTAAAAAAGAAAAAGAAAAAAGGAAAAAAAATACAAAGGGGGCCCGCGGGCCAGTCCGACCCGATCCGAGCACGAAATGCATAGGGCCAGGCTTCGGGCTTAACTATTAGGTCCGAAGAAATTGGGCCGACCCGAATCCGAATCTGAAACTTCCGAGCCAAGTGCGGGCTCGGACCGGATCGGACCGGATCGGATCCGACCAGTCCGATTGACACCCCTAGCTGTGGCAACGTGGTTGGTTACACTGACACAACGATATAATGCATTCCCACCACTATTCCCCGAATTCGGTTCCGATTTTGGGGGCGTATAGGTATATGAGCGTATGCCCGTACGCGTGTGTGTATATATATAGATATAGATATACATATAGCCCTAATGTGTATGCATGTCATTGGGATGAAGGTGTTGCCTCTGTAGAGTGAATATCGTGTATTCCATTTTTTTTTATCGATTTTTTGGTAAGGGGCATTGAATTCTAGTACGTGATAAATTATAAAACACATTTAAGTTCGAAAATAAAGATTGGTGCAAAAAAAGTAAAGATTTAATAATTATAATCTGTGGTATTTTATAGGACAAAAAAGTTTCTTCATTAACGATTTATGTTTTTGTTAACTAGTTTGCATATGAATGGTTTCATGGGTTTAGTTTACTACAAGCCCTTGTTTGCATTAAGACGATCGATCGCGTATGAATCATAAAATCAACGTCGTACGCAGTGGCTGATCTACATCATTTTTAGTTGGGGGCATAATTTTATTATGATACATTTAATATGGGGGCATTTGGTAATTTCTTTTAAAATGTTATAAAATTTCTACATAAATTAATTTTTTTTACTTAGGTAACTGGGGGCATGTGCCCCCGTTAACATTGCAGATGGGTCCGACCCTGGTCGTACGTACGTATGTATGTAGCCAGGAGTTGGTGGTCTGGTGGTTGTGGAAGCACAGAGTGCTAGCCATGTACAGAGTTCGAATCTTGGCAATCACGTATTATAAAAAAAAAATGTATGTATGTATGTATGTACGTACGTACATACGGTTCCACTTTGTATGTATTTGCTTTTATCGGTGACCTCGCGAGCCGAAACGAATTTCCACAACTAGGGATTGCATATATTATCTATTGAGAAATTCGCATAAATGCGTGTCAGTAAATAAATTGATAGTTTTTCAAGTTCAATTCAAATAATATTCTGATTCGTATAGATTAAATATATTATATGGTTAATACTAACGAACAAAACGTGTCTCCATTTGTGTACGTCACTGTTTTTTTAACGCAATAAATACGACCAACGACTACAAAGCCATCAATTTTGTGGGATTCCTGATATTATCACAACCGAAATTAGTATTAATACGCCTTTTTTTACGAATTTATTTTTTTATCAGTTCAAACTTTTTAATTATAGATTTTTTGTTTGCTCCAATCCAAAACAGAATATTTTTCTAACATCCTTGAGTGCAGAAATCCGAATAATCATAGATATCGTTTTCATGCCAATTACAAATAGGATACGGTTACATTGTATTATTGGATCGAAGAAAATTTTATTGAAGTGGACCGTTTTCATGATGACAACTATAATTATTGATGATAATATTGTGAGAAGAAAAACAAATTTGTTAGAGCATATGTTATTATCACTTGTGTTTGTCCTCATTTTTGTTATATATATACATGAAAGATTCCCTGAAAATGTGGACAACGCAATGGAAAGTTATAAATCGTTTAAACACGTAAGTGGACACAAGAGGGAAGAGCCCATCAACTTCCTCAATGAATTATCATAGCATATGCTTTTCATTTTCTTTTTCTTTTTATTCTTTGCAATTTAAATTTAGCTTTTCATTACAACGGTACATCTTTTTAATTCTAAATACATGCGATATACGGTACTGTTTATAATATCTTAAGATAAATGCAAATTCAAACCCAACAAAAGATTATTGTTCTTGGGGGAAAAAACTATTATTTGAATTATTTTTTGGGCAGATTTCTGTGATTTTTTTGGTAACGGTGTTAAGATTAAAAACAATATATATATATACACACACACACACATGTACATATATCATCCATAATTAAGGGTTATGTGTGTGCGTGTGTGTATATATATAAGTTGGTGATCATATACTCATTGCTGGGATAAAAGGCTAGGATAACCATGTTGGCAAAAAACAAATGTTTTTTTTAATAACTGGATTGGGATGGAGGATAAGAATTTATGGCTATCGATTTAATTATATGAATAATTAAAGAATTGGTTAAGTTAATTAATTGCAAAGTGAGATGAGGAGTCGACCCTTATGGGTTTTGATGGGACCGAACTCAAAGACAAAGTTGCGTGATGCCATTACCATACCGACCGACTATGCACCTCTCCTATTTTCCTTCACTTTCATGTATTCTTTTTTTTTTTAAAAAAAAAAATTGTTTAATAATAATAATAATAATAATAATAACAAATTAAAAATCGATTTGGTCCTCTCCCTATTTGCCACGCCAAAATTATTAGAGTTGAAATAATATGCTGCTTCGGTTTGGGGGAAGACCAACCATCCCCACTCAATCTCCATTCAACTTTATCACATTTATTTTCTTTGTTATAAAAAAAAACTTTATCACATTTGTATTCATACGCATTTCAACTAAATTCCTTTGGTTCTTTTTCTACTATACTAAATCGATATATATATTATATTTAGTTGAAATAATAATGTTGCTTCTAATACATCTTAAAAAATTAGATTTTAAATTATATAATGATTTTTTTTGGGTTTGCAGCTGTTAATAACAATATAGGGTTTTTGTGGTTATTGGTTTAAAAATATGAGTTGTATGATCTATATAGTTTGCAAAACGACATAAAATTTTTGCATATCTCTTACGAGAACTTGAAGTGAGGCACAAATTGGTTTGCAGGGGATATAACATTTATTTATAAAATCCATATTTACGAGTAACACAAGATTTTATAAATTTCAGAAATTCATTATCATAGTAATTATTTATCTTTATCTTCCCCAATATCTTAAGGACAAATTTCCAGGGTCTAATTTAATCAATTTTCACACCATACGAGAACTTTTTCATGTTATATTTTAATGGTATAGTTTTAATTCACGTGGACGAGGGTTTTAATATCGCAAGAGATTTGTCAAATCAAAGATTCCTAATGTTCAGATTTTAAGGTTCCGAGATGTCGCATTGGTAATTGATCGTTACAAAATTGGTGACTAAAATCACGTCTTCCGAAATTTAAAAAACATCTTAACCTTCAACAAAAAAAAAACACATCTTAATAACCCGTCTCATCTTTAAATTGGACTGTACCGACCGAGTTATCAATGTTTGTCACGTGGTTTAAATTCACATGGACCGACGACGCCGTACTTTCTCCCGCCATTCAGAATACGCAAATATAATGCAAATAATTCGAGTATTCACGATATAACAATTATTTTTAATAAGCTATAAAAATCGCAAACAAAAAAATCAAAAATAAAAAATAAAAATCGGATGACATAACATGCAAAATATATTCTTATTTTAGGTTTAAATTCAAAGGTAGAAAACAATATTTATCATAGCTAAATGTAAATTCTGGTGAATTTTCTTATTATAAAAAAAAACAAAAATAGGGCGATGAGATGTCGCCGACTAACTAATAATAAAATTAAATAGGATTTGGGTGGTGATGGTGGGGTTAAGGATTGGTATAATTTTTAGAAATAATTAAAATAATTAGAATTGGGGTGGGGAAAGCGTTGCTGTCTAATGAATGGTCTAATGATGTTATCTAATGTGCTAAGAAAAGAAACACATGTAATCAAACATAAGGCAAGTTTCAGACACATTACGGTTAGGGGCCTTTAGTTTCTTTTATATTTATCTTTTTCAATTGTTTTTATTTTAATTTTATTTTCTTCTTACGGAATAATTATGCTGTTTGTTAAATCATACAATGGAAATATCATGAAAATAGACAAAGGGAGTAAGTAATTGCATAACGTTTTTTTCTCACAATCATTTCTTATCTTGTGGGATTAATCTAACGATAAATAATAAATTTTTGTTTAGGATAGGTAGCGTTAGGAAGGATTCAATTAAATGATATGAATTTTTAAAATTAAGTTAAATAAATGTATATTCAATCTAAAAATGATAATAATATCTATTAAATTTTTTTAAAAATAAAAATGGAACCACACCGAAATTCAGATTGAATTTAGAATCTTAGATATATAAACTTAAACAAAAACCACATTTAGGTCCCATAATCGACAATTAATTTTTCTTAAAATATCTGTTTTGCATGGTGCCAGAAAACATATTTGCTATATATATATATATATATATATATATATAATTTATGGTGGATGATGGGATCATGGACCATATCATGATAATAAATAATAGACAAACAGCAGGCAAATAAAATTAAAAAAAAACTGTAAATTGTTTTAACATTCCACTTTTAGGATAACTACAAATGTTCATTCGATTATGGTTGGATTTTGTTTGATCGCTCACATTGTCAATAATTAGTGGGATCTATTCTTATTCACATATTTTTTAGTTAAGGACGAATGGGAATCCATTCTCAGTGACGTTTTTGCATACTCTCAGCCAAAATTATTAAATCTGTTTAAATATGATATTCGTCCGTTACATAAACGTATATATATACATATATATAAGATAATATCAATCAAATTTTTACCACCCATATATATTGTTTAACCCCCGTCAATAAAAATCACTTCCACGTGATCAGGTTCGGTAAATAACTTTTTACCGGACCAAATATAAAACTCCACAATAATTAGAAATTCCGCTTTCTTTTTCATTTTCTTTTTTGGAATTCGCGAGAGTAATGGCGAGTTTGAACACAGAGAGAGAGAGAGAGAGAGAGAGAGAGAGAGAGAGAGAGAGAGTCGTCCTGAAGAAAAGCCAAATAATATATACCCCACGCGAAGAAGAACATGAAAGAGCAAATACCAAACCAACCGAACCTCCAACCAAAAAAAAAAAAAAAAAAAAAAAAAAAAAAAAAAAAAAAAAAAACTAAAGAACGACTCGTTCCATTGCTTCTGTCTCATCTCTCTCTCCTCTCTCTCTCCTTTATATACCATACGTATATAGAGCGAGAAAAAAACAAGAGGAGAGAAGATAAAAAAAGAATCCGGACACACAGAGTTCAAAGACTTTAAGATGATGATGATGGAGGATCATTAGGTCTTCGTTTTCCCGATATTTATTTTCTCTCAACAAGGTAATCGAAAAACGACATGGCTGTTCAAGCTCAACACCCTTCGAATGGCCTCTTCCCCAACAGGTTCTTTTCCCCCTCCCTTTTTGCTTTGTTTTTCTGTTCGAATCATTTTGGATTTTTATTTTTTGAAATTGTTTCATGAGCAGAAACGGGCAAGAGGGACATGGTTTCTCATTGCAGCCTCAACAGGGAGAGTTTCTCGATCAAACCCACATGCTGCTCAACAATGGAGGTTCGTAAAGTTTGGATATTTTCCGTCGAAAAAATTTCGAATTTCGGAATGTGCACTTGTAAACTTCACACGAACATCTGCGCGTTTATAGGTTCTAATCCGGGAAAACGAGGAGTTGAATCGACGGCTCCTCAGGTGAACAGTTACCATTTTTCTCAGTCTCCTCAAGTTATAGGTCTCTCTCTCTTGCACAGCCAACATTATCACCGGCCACCGGCCCCGGCGTCGGCGCCGAACATCGTTTCCACCGGTCTCCGATTATCCTCTGGCGAAGACCAGCCGCAGAATTTTAATGGTCGGCTTCGGCAGCAATACCGATGCGAGAATCAGAATCTTGTCTCGAGTTCTTCTTCTGGGGTATTGTCTGTGTTATATGAAGATTTCGATGCTCAGATCAGCCGGCAGCGCGAAGAAATCGACGAATTTCTTCATGCCCAGGTTTTGAATCCGTCTAAAGCGAATTGGGTCTCCGTAAAGCTCTGTTTTTTCCCCTTTATTCCGTTCTTTTTTCTGATCGGAGAACGCGGTAACTTTACGTAGGCGGAGGGCCTGAGGCGCACGTTAGCAAATAAGAGGCAGAGGCACTACAGTGCGCTCCTACGCGCGGTGGAGGAGCCCTTGGCGAGGAAGCTGAGGGAGAAGGAGGCGGAGGTTGAAAGTGCCACGCGCCGCCGGGAGGGGCTGGAGGCTCGTGCTGCTCAGCTGACGGCGGAGGCGCAGGCGTGGCAGGCGAGAGCCCGGGCCCACGAAGCGGCTGCCAT